AGAGTCACAAAAACCAGGGTATCCCTGGTTGTGTCAGTCTTCTACAATTACTCCTTGTATAGACAGATTGAATTCTTAGAAAGAGAGCATAGTGTCTGGCTCTGTTCTTAGCTTTTGAGTGGCTTACAACAGTATCCTGGATGACTACTCTTATCTGTAATGTAATTCATTGCACAAGGAGGTGCTGGGTTGAGTGGGAGATGATCTGGCTGTGTGGAGGGATTTATGGTCTGGCACAGTTCCGCCAGGTGTGATTTGCTGAATCTGTGGCAGAGTAGAGGAGAGGTAAATGCTGGCACCTTTGCAAAAGGACAGCTTTGTAAATATTCTAACATATGGGAGGACTGTCTTCCTCCTCCCTCCCCACTTCTGTCATTTTTCCAGGACTTGTGCTCAGGTATGCATGTATGTAGTTGCATACATGCCAGGGCAGTGTATAGTTTTACTGAGCATGGGCATTCTGTGTGCAGAAGCTTATACGTTCACAAAGTAAAGCCAGGGCCAAAAACAGCTGGGCACATGGCTAGAAAATTGCCATTTAGATGCACAAAGGGAAATAGAATTCCACCTTAAGTACCTCTATTATAGAATTATAGTAAAGTAGGGCTGGACTTTCAGAGGTCATCTTGTCCACCTCCCTCTCCCCCACCCCACCAGAGAGGATCAATCCCTATCCAAACCATGCTATATAAATCCATTTCCTAACATTAGTAAAACTATACAGTCAATTATGTAGCACCTTAACTTAGCACGATAAATCAGGGAAACAACAGTGGCCAATGGCCTGCTACTGCAAGAGTTGCCAAAATATGCTTGAGATCCAAGGAAGATGGCAATGCCCCCCACTACAGAGGAAGACAAAAACACTCACAGTCTGTACCAATCTGACCATGGGGTAAAATTCCTTCCTGATCCCAAATGTAGTGATTGGTTTGACTCTGAATGGGAGAGGTGAGACCCTCTAGCGTCCAGGAACAGGATCACCCTTACAGGTGTCTTCTCATTCTTACATGCACCCGAGGGGCTAATAGAATCACTTCTGCACTTCAGTTAGGTAACTCAAGAGTTGTCGCAAGTTGTACTTTGACCGTCCACTAAGTGAAATAGAATTCTGCCAAAAGTCCTTTACATTCTCAGAACTGTCTGTCTGTCTGTCTCTCTCTTGCTGATAATTCTGTATTCCCAAGAGGCCTCTGACCTTGCTTGAGTCTGTTTAGGAATTTTAGCATGCTGTATTTATTCACATGCAACACACACCTTTTCTCCAAAAATTAGACCCCCAAAATTAGGGTGGATGTCTTAAGCAGGAATGGTTGTTTTTTTTCTGTTCTGGATAGAAGCACCCTGATTTGCTTCCTGCTCCACTAGGCAGCAGCAGTGGCATTACTATCCAGGCAACTGTGGAAGTCAGTTCCCACAGCTCATTGTTCTTCACTCCACAGGTGTTGACCATCATCTCTCCTTTGCAATGGTCTTGATGTTCCACTAATCAACCAGTTTCAGCAGTTTTACTAGCTGCTAACTGCTCCTAGTCTTCTCCTATTTTACAGCCCTGGAGACTTTAGTTCTTTTCAAAATCATAGATCCACCCATGGAGACCAGTCTTCAGGAGAAGCTAGGGTTTCAGCTTTTAGTTAAGCAGGAAAGGGAAGGTAAGCTGACTGATCATTAGGCTCTGTCCCTGCTCTATGCAGCCATTACTTTGATTTTTTTCTTCATTCTGCCTTTCAAAAACAAGGTGTGTAACTTATTTGGGGGTGTTTTGTAATGCAAGAAAATATGGTATCTTGTTTACTTCAAAATTGTTTCTCAAAGACAGAGGGATGACTGTTTATACAGCACCTCTCCCCTGGGAAATCCCTAAATCAGAAGTGCATAATTGTGATATGACTGGTAGCCTATGTCTAGGTGAAAGTGGGCCAGGCCTGAGAGGTTTTAGTGCAATATTACTGTATTGGGACAGAGGATGAGAAAACAGTATGAAGATGCTGAGGTACAACTACCCACAAATAGTCACTCAGATGAACTGAAAAAATTAAGGTTTGGGGTTTTTTTGGTTAGGAAATTGTAATGTGTTAACCTTAAGAGCTGAGCCACAGACCTGTGTTCTAAGCTTCCCCTATCCAGGGGAGGAGCCTGGAAAGATACATACTTAAAAAAAAAAGGTGTCAGGTGAAGGATATGTTTTACGCCCAATACCGGTTGTACTGTTGCTTATTTTATTTCTTACTTTCTATAGTTTTGCCAGTTGGGCATTTCATCTTTAAGAAAGCACGGAGAAATATGTTGTATTTTTTGTCACATATCAAATAAATCCAAATGCACCTTGTTTATGTTGCATGCTTTGCTGCTGGGTCTAGGATTTCCAAAATTCAATATTTTGCTTGTAAGATCTTAATTGGATTTCCCTAAACATACTGTGTGTAAAACTGTATTTTTTTTAAATTTATCTAACTACAACAGAGGACAGTAAAGCATATATTGCCTTTATATCTAAATGTTATTCTTCTTTTCCATTTTATTCTCAGGGGGACCTCTGGATCTCATGTCATGTCGAGTGATTGCTGCAGGTACTAAAGAGATGGCCATGTTTGTAGCTCAGGAAATACAGACTATTGACTACAGACGGGATGATGAGAACTGACCAAAATGAAATACTGTGAATAGTAAAGTGAAATCTGGTTTTCTGAACTATGTAATTTTTTTCCAGGATGGACAACTTAGAGGGAATATGGTTGTGAGCTTAGGCCACAGGTGGGCGAAATGCGGATGCGGCCCACCAGGCCATTCTATCCAGCCCGCGGGGCCCCTAAAATATTTAGACAATTAATATTTATATGTCCCTGGCTGCCTGTCATGCAGCCCTCGATGGCTTGCCAAAACTCAGTAAGCATCCCTCCACTCAAAATAATTGCCCACGCCTGACTTAGGCACTAACTTTGTTTTTTTCCAGTGGGTGCTTGCAGGCAGAAACCCCCACCCCCCCCAAAAAATGTGCTTTAATGTAAACTCAGCACACATTACTTCAACTCGGCTCTGCAGCACCTGTAAAGGTCAGGCACTTTAATGGGGCTTTTTTGGCACTTTTATCTAATAATGGAATTGGTTTTTGCTAAAAGCGCCAAAAAGCACTGCTGAAGCACCCAGTCTTTACAGGCACTGCAGAGCTGGGTTGAAGTAACATGCTGCTGCTTCTGGTAAAGCATGTTTTGTTTATTTTTTTAATGTCTTGACCATGGCTCATGAGTGCTGAGCACCTGCTAGTTTTGTTTGCTGAGTGCTTGAGACCCAGAGCACCCATGGAGTCGGCACCTATGATTGTGAGAGCAAGCTTTCTGCACAGATTTTCTGGGTCAAATTATTTTTTAAAAATTTATTGCAATGAAGAGGTGTGGGGGAAAAAAGAGATGTTTTAAACCTCTAAGGTTAACAATCCTTTTCAATATGCATTTATTTCAGTGGTAACTTTTTTATATGATCACATGTAATATCTGTTTCAGAATTAAGTCACGGTTTCACATGCGTAGGGTTGGAAGCAAGTCTTTTGTAACATATGGAGTTAAAAATAAAACTTTATTTTTACAAAACACAGATCTCAGGTAAATGAGCTTTAGAACTGTAATATGAAACAAATAGTAAAAATATGTGCCTATAATAGCCTTGTTCAGCAGTACTTAATGCAATATAAAGTGACATTACTCTTTTCTAACTATGTTAAAATTATATATCCATATTGGCAGGGTAGTGTTTGTGTGCGTGCATGCTCACTCTCTCTCTCTCTCTCTCTCTCTCTCTCTCTCTCGGAAGTTTACAGTGATTTTATATAGTGGAGAAAAATAAAAAGGCTGATTTTAGATATTCTTCTCAGGGAAGAGTATCCGTTACTTCTACTGTGTTTATTAACCAAAATGGTTAGTAATAAAATCTGGTGAAAACAGGGAAAACATTTCATCAGTTATTTTTTTTCACATTGTTCAACCAGCTCCAGTTTATGATTCATGTCAACCATTTAGGCCCAAATCTGACAGTCCTTATTTGACCTTTAGTAAGATCTCAGTCCTGCAAAGACTAAGTAATTGTGATTTCTAGGCAAAGTGCTTACTACCAGAAGGGCTGACGCCAATGGGTCTATTCACAGTAGTAAGTACTGTACATAGTAGTATGGTAGCCTGACAGAGTTCTGTGTCAAGAAAGTGTTGACCTCAGTGGATGTTTTGCTGGAGTAGGAACTACAGTGTTTCATCCATAAAGGCCAATTATTAAAAATAGGTGCCTAAGCTATGCTTGCAAAAACATAATTGTAAATACAGAGAGGACATTTCACATATACAATTGTAGCCACCTTTTCTGAATGGCTAGAAATCATGTAAAATTAATTTAATAAATCTAAAAGCACAGGAAATCTGTGCAACTCTGGTTTTATGTTCAACAGTTGTGTTCATTTTACCAAGGTTTCTATTTAGATTATTTTTTTAAAATGTGTAATCTCAGTGATAAAATGGCACTACTAGATTACTTATACTGTAGCGTCCAGAAAACTATTTGAGATTAAATATGGGGATTTACTTCTAGCTTTTATGTTGCTCAGATTCAAGTTAAAAACCTTTCTGAAATAATACAAAATAAATCCACAAACCCCATAAGCCCACAAACCCAAATGGGCCAAAGCTTATGTTTCTAAATTGCATGTGTGGACTGTAGATAAATGCCTATGCATAATTACCCACTTTGCATACACAACTAAAGAATACAGTATGAAAAATAGTAGTCTTGCATGTTTTTTTTCTACTGTGAAAAATGTTTGGGGATTTTTTTTCATTATAACTTATATGTTGTATTTTTAAATGAGAAATGCAAAATACTGGGCACATCTACACATTCATTAATGTGTCATAATTACAACACATGAAGTTTAGTACCTGTAATAACAGGTACTAAGCTTAATGCACTATAACTAATCAGCACAACTGCTCGTTAGCGCAGATGAACACTTTTTTGTGACGTTAATGTGAATTAGACTGAGCCTACTGTGCATTAGTACTGTTTTGCCAGCCACACTAATGCTGTGTAGAACTAGTCTTCTGCGTATTAAGCATCTCATGTAGATGCACACACTGACTGAACAATAGCCAAAATTTAGGTCTCTGATTCAGCAGAACATTTAAGCACACTGATGTATTGCCTAGCTCCATGACCGTATTATTTCCTTGTACTCCCTGGTCTGCTTCTATCTCCTGTCTTTTATTTTACATTTAGATTGTAAGCTCTTTGGAACAGGAACTGTATTTTATTTGGTGTTTGTAGAGTGCCTAATACAGTGTTGTTCAGTTCATGACTAGGTATATATGTACTACAATAATACAAGTAATGAATAAACATGGTTTCATTGGCTTAGTTTTCATTCCATCCAAGCACAGGTCAGATCCAGGGTAATGAGAGATTTAAGGAGAGGGCTGAATCTCCAGGCACCTACTCTAACTTCCGTCATTCACATAAGCCCTGTAATGTAACTTACACTAGCAGAGGATCAAGTGTAGCAGAGCTGGGCTTCCTCATGCCCCCTCCCATCTCTGCACTCTCCCCAGATAAGCTGCTTTTTTTCCTTTTCTGGTAGATGGACAGCTGGTGTAGACATCTCTCCACCCTCGGCAAGCTTCCCCTCAGCATAGCTTCCATGCATAGAGAACCTCTGGCCAGTCTATTTGAACTCCCCAACACTTGCAATGCAGGGTGACCTTACTAAATAAACCAGAGAACCTGTCCTGTTGAGTTCAATGACACATGCAAGTGCTTTGCTGAAACAGATGCTTTGTGGAGGTGGGGATTAACTAAGGAGGGGGGAACATCCACAAATCCAGTTTGAGATTCACCTGTTTCTTTGGTGAGCGCAATTGATGAGTGCCTCAAACTCCCACTGATGTCAGAGGAAGGAGCAGATGGTCATAGTTTTAGTGAGACTGACCAGGGGTAGTCCCACATTTTTTATTGAAAATAGTTTTATCCGTTAAGTTCTTAGAGATAAATCCTGTCCCAGATTTTGTCCTTCCCTTCCATCTTCTCATGCTTGCTAGCTAAACCTTTGTTTTCTATAAATTTTCCTTGTCAACTTTCCAGTGTAAGCTTTAACCTAATACTGTATGTGAGTCAAATCTTTAAACGTTTAGCTATTTTTGCTTAAATAATATCAAGCTTTTAACTAATTTTCCAGCACTTGTAAAATATGTAGTTTTTCATTTTTAACAAAATTAAGATGTGAAAGTTTACAGTCCATTTTGTGTACTTTGGATAGTTTTAAATCATGCTTCAGCCTTTTTATATTATTTGAAGGCTAGTTTATGAAGCAGAGATAGTATTTAAATACAAAAGGAAAAAAACAAATGCTTAACTGTTCAGAAAAGCTGTTCCCTATCCAGGGTGTTAAAACCTGCATTGGCGTTTTTCCCATGGTAGCGCCTGGAGGAATGTTGATGGAAAGGGCAGAAGAGAATAAGAGTCAGAGACATCTCTGATATATTTTGGAGTCATATTCTTGCATGCTGTCATTGGAGTGGAAGGGAAAAAAAATTGGGTTTGGTTTTTTACAAGAACTTAGGAATGTGGAACTAGAACAAGCCTCCCAGTCCATGCAGCCACGTTCCTGGCATTCACAGACAGCCCTGTGGCCCAAGTAGCCACAAAACTATTCATTTTAACCCCTCTCACATGCAGCAGCCACAAAGCACCCTATGAAAAAACAAGCTCTACAGTGAATCTCAGAGACAGTGCTACTCATACTTCCCTGTCTCTACTAAAAATACCCCACGTAGTATACACTAGTGTTGCATTAATCTTTTTCATGATTGCACCACAGGTCATGCTCATTTTCTGTGAGCAAGTCACCATCTAATGGAAAAAGTATTAGTTCTTAAGTGCATGACTCTGTAGTTTTGACTTTTACACTTCATACAATTTCTCTTACTCAACTCCATAAGGTTATCTAATTCTTTCTCTATAATAATCTGATCCTCTTCTGTATTGGAAATACTCCACAGCTTTGCCTCCCTGTAAATTTTACAAACAATGAGCTCTTCCAACCAAAGTTGCTAATGAAAATTTAACTGGAATGGGTTCTCGGCTTATTACAGGTATTGTGGTCATCTGACATGTTTTTAAAATGTTCTTTGGTGGGTTGCAGCTTCTTATGCTTTGTCTCTTCCCAGAAATTGTTTTGGAACAATGTATAAAGCACAACGTTTTTAGCTGTTTTTCTGTTGCCTGAATGTAGAAAATAAAAGAATGACCCTCTGCTGGATCGAAGCTGGTAGATCTTGTTCTGTCACAGACTGTTGCTGATGGAAAGAATCTGATTATAGCTTATGGTCACAGCCATGCGCTTGCAGCAGCTCAAATAGAAGTGGTGCAAATTTGAGCCAGGGCTTTTTGTATCAGTGCACATGCTTAGACATGCACTTTGTTGAGGAGCAAATTGTGCCACTTCGGGCAAAATAACCCTGCGTGGCTCCTCCCGGATCTGCAGCCAGGGGGAGCTAGAGCCTGGGGCCAGCATCTGTGCTGTCTCCAGCGGTATAAAAATCTTCCCTGTCCTGGCCCCAGCAGTACAAAAAGTTGCCCTGGCAAGTAGCCCAGGGCTACTTGCTCTCAGAAGCTTCTGGGGCCCAGCCAATTGGTATCTGGGAACACTACCCCTTGTGCCAGCTGGGCTGCAAAAGCAGCCCTGAAAGTTCCCTGCGCCCTCTACCCACTGCAGCAGTCTGGCAGTGGGGGCTGCTGCCCAGCTGTGATCTGCTACGCACCTGCCAGACTGGGATGAGGCATCTGCCCCTCTGGGCCAGCTGCCAGCAGTCTGTGGCTGGAGAGTTGGCCTCTGTGTGGTACTACTGCCATGTGTGCCCCCTGCCTGGCCATCTGGGCACCTATCGCCCCAAAGATGTTCCAGGTGTGGTGGCCTGCTTTAAACTGTGAACAACAGCCAGCTGGGTCCAAGGTGGCAGCTCCGAGCAGGCAGAGTCCTGTCACTGGCCTCCCTAGCAGGAATTCTAGTGTTCACTACTGGCAAACTAAAAACTCCCTGATACAAAAATCCCGGTCACTCTGTAAAATACCCCAAAATCCATGTTGCTCTACAATTAAAACAAAAGACCACTATGAAGAGAAAGAGAGAGTGAGACAGAGACAATGATCACTTGGGCAATGTTTTATTGATATATCTACAGTGTTAAAGCGATGTGGAAGCCTACCAGTGTCTCTATCATAATAATAAAGTGAACTCTAAATACATGTTTCATGAATTCATGAATACATGAATATATATTTTGTTGCCCTCCCACAGAGGCTACAGCCCCTACACAGGGGTTTCAGCCCCCAAAAGGGGCTGTGGCCCCTACACAGAGGTTATGGCTCCCACACAGGGGCCATGGCCCCCATACAGGGGTTACAGCCCCCCAATGGCCCCCACACAGGAGTTACAGCTCCCCAACAGGCACTACAGCCCCACACAGGGGCTACAGCCCCCCAATAGGAGCCAAATGGCCCCTGCAGGGGCTACCACCCACCCCTGCAAGGCCCACATGCCCCACCCAAGCCCCCCCGATTGCTGCCTCACCTGGCCCCATCCCCCGCCAGCTGCTGCAGGCCCTGCCCAGCCCCAGGCACCATCACTTTAAAAAAAAAAAAAAAAAGGAAAAAAAAAGCCTCTACTTACTCTAGGAGCAGGGGCTGTGGGGGCTCCGGGGCCTCCTGACAGAGCCCCCTTGGGCAGCACAAGACAGTGTGGGGCAGGAGGGCCCAGGCTGGGGATGCTGGGGCTGTCCCTCTGCCCCGTGCTGTGTGGGTGGGGCCCCAGTGACACACACAGCAGCTGGACTGCCAGTAAGTACCAGGGGGTTTGTTGGTTTGGGTTTTTTTACTCTGGGGATGCTGGGTTCAGGGGGCAGGGATCGGGAGGGCTGGCAGGGGATGGGGCCGGGTAGGGCAGGGATTGGGGGCCTGAGGGGGGCAGGCAGTGTGTTTCAGCACCAGGGCAAGGGCCTCTGGCACTCTGGCAGCCAGAGCGTCTCTGTGGAGAACCCAGCCTCCAGTGCCTGCCCCGCTTTTTTTATCTCCATTTTTTTTAGACCCCTGGGGTCTAATTTTCTCCACGCACTGAAGGTGCAGCATGTATTTACCTTATGCAGAAAGTTACCATATTTCAAATATTATATTTCATATGTATATTATATTTAAAATATTTATAGTTATGAATATGTTAGATAATATACATGTGTATGTAAATGGGAGAGCAAGATGGGTGAAGAAATCTTAATTGACACTGCATGCCTGCATCCCCATAAGCTGGAACTTGGGGTTTGTGGCACCTCAGTGCCTTTTGAGGCACTGTGAAACACATGCAACGCTTGTGAATCCATTTGCTGCACTGCATATTTGCAGCACTGCTGCAAAATTAGATACCAGAAAATCCTGGTATCTCAAAAAAGCGCAGAGAAAAAAAGTGGTGCGGCGGACATGGCTGCACCATGTACTGCCCAAAACCAGGGCCTGGCCAGCCAAAGTCATACTGCAGCTCCTGGCTGGGCTCCACACACCTGGATCCCCACTGCTACGGTCCCCCAGGACCCCACATAAGGCTGCTGGGGCAGCTCAGATGCTGGCTCCAACCCCACCCAGGGCAATTTGCTGCATGCCACAGTATACATTCAGGGGCGTTCCCCAAGGACTACTATCAGCAGCACACTGCTCAAAAGCTGGCCAGGAATCGCCGCTGCAGACGAATCACCACTGCAGACACTCAAAAGCTGGCCAGGAATTGACACTGTAGAGAATCACTGCTGCTGCAGCCAGGTAAGGCTGCTGGGGCCAGCCCAGAGCTGGGGCCAGCCCAGTGCTGGGGCCCAGCCTCCCCTACCCAAGGTAACTTGCCACACGCCAAAGTGTGCTTGGCATGGGCGTTCCCTGGGGGCAAGTAGCAGTGGCACAAGGTGCACCACCACTACTTGTCCCCAGGGAACCAAACATCCATGCTTGTCTGGACATGCCCTATGTGGGCATATGCTCAGAATAGGATCTATTTTTCCTGTAAGTAAACATTACTCCTTTTCTTGTTAAACTTTTTCAGCTTGTCTCTTGCAAAATGGCTCAGAACATTTTAAATCTACCATTTGGCTCAAATAATCTCAAGTATAGATAATATATATCAGATAAATAAGGACATTCTGCTATGTATGCTCTATGGAAGTTGCAGTAATGGATAGCTGAAAACAGGCAAGGACTTCAACTTGTCTGATTTATAAAACCTATAAATCAGTTTTGGCCAAAGTAGATATTGGTCTGGTTAGTACTTGGTATTTGTCATAAAACTGTTTTTCCCCTTGATAGCAATGGATAATCTTAAAGTGTTCATACATTTTTAACAAGACATTTATTTGAAAGACTAAGGCAACACTTGTTATGGTGGTAATGCTCTATGTTATGTATAATTATATTCTTATTGCTGATAATGTTAATCCAAACAACAAAAATAACATTTGCCACCAGAAAGACAGTTCTAGACTTTGGTGTTTTTGTTTGGTATCATAAGCAGCTGAGTCTGTTCAGTATTTGGCTGGCAGACCTGCAAGAAGCTTCTAGTGTATATCTTATATATTAAAGTACACTAGAGTGAAACCGCAGTCTTATTTTAGCACAAACTGTGGTTTTCTTCTCTCATCACCTTCTGTTAATACAAACACTTATTTGTAATTTTTTCTCACTGTTGGTTAGGGAAGTTCTATGAAACATCTGGCAGTGTTATATATAATTAAGATAGAAATTGCAAAATTTGGGGAAAAATTCAGAGTTCTGTTTCCTAAAGCACTTTTGCTATGCTTGTATAAATACGCTTGACATTATCAATTTTATACATACACCGCACTAGTCACCAAATAGTAAATAACATAGAAAGAAATCGCCCCTTTTTCTATAATATACTAAATATGACAAAAGAACTAAGTATTTAGGTACACATTATTGTGGTTAAATAATGAAGGACCTTATTATAATTCAAAAGGAGCAGAATTAAGGATATTATGAGATAATTTAACAGCATTTTTTTTAATTCCTATGTAATTAAAGTTTCAGTTTTGATGGTGTATTACTATAAGTCTTTTTGTTTCTCTAATTTCTACAAGCCTCTATATTATAATACTAAGTTTTATAATAAAATTCATTGAGTCTTAGTGTTTAAAATTCTTTTTAGACAGGAGGATTAGAAAGTGATAGTATTAATTTTAGTGTTGTTATACTTAACCCGAGAAACAGAATTCTGAATTTCAGAATACTGACTGTTATTCTTTTATTTACAAATTAAGGTATATTACCACACTCATTTGTCTAGCTTAGTGGGCACTTTTACATGTGGTCTAGGGGTGGCACTTTACTTAGAAAATCTCCAAGAGCCCTCTAATAAAGCACTGCAGCATCTCATGTATCAGTGTCCTCATGCTTAAAGATGGCAGGCTTTAGTTCAAGCACCTCTGCCGCCATTTTTAAGTGTGGGGATGCTGATACATGAGATGCAGGTGTCATGACCCAAAAGGCATGATTGTGTGTGCGCTTCGGCACCAGAATTATCCCCGCCAAGTTGCGGAGCATTGCACGGGAGTGTTTCCTGTTGCAAAGGAAAACCCCGGTGCAGGGACGAGTTTCCCGCCTTTTCTGCAACTTCTTTTGCAGGGTGCATTGCTCATGTTGCAAGAGGAATGCATGGTGCAAAAGAGTTCCCGCCACCGGTATGCAAATTCGTTCCCCGTGATTGGCTAGTGTTAAATTATTCACACGTGGCGGCTAGCGATTGGCCTGTTAGCCGTATAAGAGGCTTGAGCAGTTTCCGCCCAAGCCGAAGAGGATTCCACATCCATCTCGTGGGGACTCTGG